TATAAGTAAACAGAATAGTGATCAGAGTGTAAATATCATAAGGTCTTTATACTGTTTTTAAGGAATAAGATGCTGATTAACTTCCTGCTTCTGAAAACTCCATTATTCATTTTTAAATTTGGGGGGAGCTGTAGATAACAGCTCAGTGGCACAGCACTTGTTTAGCATACATGAAGCCCTTGGGGTATTCTCTCTAGCACTGTTTTAAAAAAATGAGTTGCTGGAAAGATGGCTCAGCAGTACTGGTTGCTCTTACAGAGGACCTGGGTTTGGTTCCCAGCACCCACAAGGCAGCTAACAACCACCTGTAACTCCAGTTCCAAGGAATCTGACACCTTCTTCTGACCTTGGCAGGTAGTACATCATGACATAGGTGCACTTACATGCAGGTAATACATTCATGAACATAAAATAAAATAATAAAACTAAAATATAAGCTGGGTGTAGTGGCCATGCCTTTATTCCCAAACTTGGTAGGCAGAAGTGGCTGGATCTGTGTAAGTTAAAGGCCTACCTGGTCTACATAGCAAATTCCAGGTCAGCTGGGGCTAAAAAAAAAAAAAAAAAAGCTAAGCAGTTAAGAGCACTGGCTGCGCTTGCAGAGGATTCAGGTTTGATCCTCAGCACCCGTGTGGTGGCTACAAACCAACCACTCATAACTCCAGTTCCAGAAAATCCAATGTTCTCTCTCTTTTTTTTTTTTTTTGGTCTTTTTGAGACAGGGTCTCCCTATAGCCCCAGCTGACCTGGAACTCGCTATGTAGACCAGGCTGGCCTTGAACTCACAGAGATCTGCCTGCCTCTGCCTCCCAAGTGCTGGGATTAAAGGCATGCGCCACCACGCCCAGCTCCAATGTTCTCTTTTGACCTCCACAGGCACTGTATGACACAGTTATATTTATACATATGCGGGCTATCCATTCATACACAGAAAACAAAAAATAAGTAAAATATTAAAAAAAGAGAATGGAAAAGGCAAGTAAATGCTAAAATAAAGCTGGTATAAGCGTTAATTACCACATAAAATACACTTCAAATCAACACTACTTGCAATAAATGGTGGCTATTACATAATGCTACAAAGCTTCTACTTGCAAAGTTTAAAATATAGTAGTAATACCTGCTAATGGGTATGATTTAGGGCAATGAAACTGTTCTGGAGTTTCTCCTAATGACTGATTGCATACCCATAGATTAATTCATTTCTCAACTCTCACCAGAGAACCATCTTGCAGCAGATAGTGATTAATACAGAGACCCACAACTGGCCAACATGCCAAGAATAAGATACTGCAAAGTGCTTAGCTCTGAATGGGACATCTGTATCAAACCCCGGCCTCTCAAGGCTCCAAGGATCATTGAGGAAAAGGGTGAAGAAAGATTCTAAGAGGTGATGGATGACTACAAGAAAACTTTTCTAGACAAAAGGACAGTTATTCATATGAATTCACAGCAACTGTGTAAGCATGCATAATGACCTATGTAAGCTCAAGCCAGACAAATTTCCAACAGAGGGAGAGAGGCAGGTAAGAAGCCCCAACCCTAGGTGAGAACTACTGGAAACTGACGGTTGCTGAGAGAGGGAGAGTCAGTTTTCTTTAAGAGTGTGATGCTGGGTAGGTTGACCACGCTCCAAGGGATGGACCCACACTGAAAGGCATTTGGGGACACAAATTAGACTCCACAGGCCTTATTAAAAAACAAACAAACAAACAAACAAACAAACAAACTAGGACACGGATTTGGGCAGGGAACCATAAGGGTACAAATGGGGAGGGGGATGAATATGACCAAAATACATTGTAGGGTATTCTCAAAAATTCAATTAAAAAAAAAAAATCACATGAATGTTCAGTTTCCTTACTAATAAAAAATATGTAAGCCAGGAACATTTGTAATCCAAATTTGAGGGCAGCCAGCCTTGGTTACATATCAAGACCCTGTCACAAAACAAAAAAATCCCCATCCAATTAAACAAAAATCAAAACAACAGCAAAAACTAAGACAGAGAAACCACTACTTACCCCGCCCCCCAAACTGATACATATGGAAAAGCTAGGTAGGCATGGTGGCACATGCCTGTAATCCCAGCACTGAAAGTGGAGGCAAGAGATCACAAGTTCAAGGCCCTAGTACTCTCAAATTAAACATTTTTTTCAAATGTAAAAATAAATAACTAGCCAATTATCAAATTGGATACTTTCCAAATCTGATGCTTTCTTACCTTATAATAAGCTTTTGCATTGTTAAAAAGGAGCTGGAAGTCAGCAGTCAGCAGATTAACATCATCATACTCTTCCATTTTTAGTTTCTGCTGGATTTTCATCAAGTCAATGGGCTGCGAAACCACTTCATAATAGTCTGGTTGATTTCTGTTATGATTTAAATATCTTTTAATGACTAATCCAAAAAATATATAAAGTTTTGCTTCAAAATCATTTATGTAATAACCAACACTCCAAATTAAAAATTGCTAACAGATTTTTCTCGTTACTAGAGCTAAAGGGAAATAACAAAAACAAGATATAGATGTTGAGACTCTGTCTTAAAAAAAGAGTTACAGGGGCTAGAGAGATGGCTCAGCAGTTAAGAGCACTGGCTATTCTTGCAGAAGACTGGGATTCAATTTCCAGCACCCACATAGCAGCTAACAACTATCCATAACTCCAGTTCCAGGAGATTCAATGCTGTCTTCTGATCTCTGTGGGCACTGTATAACACAAGTACATTTACATGCAGGCATATACTCACGAACATTAAAAAAAAAGGTTTACAACTGAGCTAGTGAGATGACTCAGCATGTAAAGGCACTTGCCACCAAGCCTTATAACCTGAATTATATCCCTGGGACACACAAGGTAGAGAGAATCAACTGAAAGTTGCTCTCTGACCTCCACATGCACACCACATGTACCCATACACACATGCACGCACGCACACACAAATAAATGTAATTAAAAATTTTCCAATGTTTTAAAGAAACTTTAATTTACTTTGACAATAAGACTTAAACTGAAGGTGGGGCGGGGGGAGAGACTAAACTGTTGACTCCCAAATGAACTATTTGAATCCCAGATTTTGAGACATTTCTTCTGAAGGAAAACTCAATTTCTACACACTTTGTTTTGGTTTTTTTTTTTTGGTCTTTTTGAAGCAGGGTCTCCCTGTAAACCCCAGCTTTCCTGGAATTCACTATGTAGACCAGGCTGGCCTTGAACTCAAAGAGATCCGCCTGCCTCTGCCTCCCAAGTGCTGGGACTACAAGCATGCGCCACCATGCCCAGCAATTTCTACATACTTTAAGCATAGATCCTGCATTAAATCTGCCAACCGTATGAATGTGTTTCCAACTCACCTTCGCTTTGGTGCCCTAATGAAGAGCTCACAGAGGAGTCTGCCCTGTTCATCCTTATAGTCACGGATTGTGTTATAGAGTTCATGACACACAGCTATCTGCATAAAGGAAGAGGAGAAAAATCACCACAAAATATATAGAAAGCTAGTGTAGGCATAAGGATTATCAACTATTCTTTACTGAAAACATATCCATAAAAGGGAAACATTAGAGAGGAAAAAGGATACATCCTGAAATGGGACCTCAAGTCTGAAATATGCTGACAGGATACATTCTTTAAAATAATGTTAGGGAAGCAGGATGATTGCCCTAATTTGAGGCCAACCTGAAACAGTGTTCCAAACCAGCAAGGGCTACACAGTGAGACCCTGTCTCAAAAATACCAAAATAGGAGCTGGTCAGATGGCTCAACAGGAAAAGGCTCCTGCTGCCAAACATGAAGACCTGAGTTCAGTCCCTGGACCCACATGGTAGGAAAGACCCAACTCCCACAAGCTGTTCTCTGACTTCCATATGATGCTATACCACATGCGCGCGCGCACGTGTGCACACACACACACACACACAAAAACACACTCTCAATAAATGTAATTTTTAAAAAATTCTTTAAAAAACCCAAAATATATAATTACATAAAAATATTTTCATTAAATTTTGGCATCTTTCATCAGGTCTGTGCCTCCCACCCCCATCTCTAGTTGTTAAGATCACAGGTGTGCACCAACACATCTGGCTCTGATTTTCTTTTAAATTAAATCAGCTCATTGGCTCACATTCTCTTGCAGGGCATGGTGGCCCACGCCTGTAATCCCAGCACTCAGGAGGCAGAGGCAGGTAGATCTCTGTGAGTTCCAGGCCAGACTGGTCTACATAGTGAGTTCTAGGCCAGCTGGGACTACAAGGAGACCCTGCCTCAAAAAAACAAAAGACCAAATTTTAAAGCCCTTCCTAATGATGTTAGTCAACACAACCTTCTTCTATCTCTTTTTCTGACATTCAATGACATCATAAATTAGACCCTTAACTATCACCTTCTTCACTGTCTCATGAAACAACCAGGAACATCTGGAAGAATCATTGCTACTATATATTTGTGTTATTTTCCATTAGTTGATAAACACTGAGGATAAAATAATTCCACTTGACTTTGCACCTACTCAGCAGGCCTTCTTATAAACTGTCTGCCCCACTAAGGGGAGTGGGGGGAAGGTTCTAGCTGACAGAGCTCTGTCCTTAACTTCTACTTAGTGGCATAGCAACAAGTTCAGGGATGACCCAAACTGAGCCAATGAGACTCCCTTCACCAGCAGAGACAAAAAAGTCAGGCAAGAGAGAAGGAAAGAGACAGAGAGGAGATAGCAATAGTCTTAAAGGTCCACAGCCAAACACTGTACCTGATTGGGTCTAGATATTAAAAGTAGATGGCTTGCTGAAAAAAAGAATGAAGCAGGCATGTAGAGAAAAAAAATTAAAGAAAGCTACTTATCAGCACCCGAGGGTTCCCTATCACCTCAGTTTTGGTGCTAGGCCACCTGGAGCCAACTGCATTTTGCCACCTGTCTTAGTTTGTTTCTTCATTAACCTAATTGAGGCTGGCGAGATGGCTCACTGGGTAAGAGCACTGGTTGCACTTGCAGAGGGCCTGGGTTCAGTTCTCAGCACCCATATAGTAGCTAACAACTGCCCATAACTCCAGTTCCAGGGGCTCCAATGCCATCTTCTGGTCTCCGTGTGTATTGCATTCATGTGGTACACGTGTACACACAGGCAAACACTCACACACATAAAATACTTTTTAATTAAAAAAATAAAAAAAAGGAAGTAATTGAAGCTGACACACACCTATAATTCTAGCACTCAGGTATCTAAGGCAGGACTGTACATTTGAGACTAGCCTGGGCTACAGTGCAAGGCCATTTTTCCAAAAGGGGGTGGGGTGGAGATGGCTCAGCAGTTAAGAGCACTGGCTGCTTTTGCAGACAATTCAGGCTTGGTTCCTAGCACCCTCATGGCAGCTAACAACTGTCAGTAACTTCATTTCCATGGGATCCAACACCACCTTCTGGCTTCTGTGGGCATTGCACACACATAGTGCACTTACATACATGCAAGCAAAGCACTCACAGAGGGGGGGAGGAGGGAGGGGGAGGGGGAGAGAGAGAGAGGTGGGGGGAGAGAGAGAGAGAGAGAGAGAGACCATTCAATAGGCCTTTTATTGCACAGAAAATCAAGGTCTGGACTCCAAGGTCTATGGCTGCCTTCAAGACTGGCTGGATACAGCTTACCAATCTTTTCCTTTCAATCATTTCTGTAACTATAATGTGCTAGCCCATCCATGGTCCAGCCCTCTGCGGGATTGGTGCCTTTTAGAAGATTCAAGTCAAAACAGCCTAAATCATGAACTTAAAAAAAGAAAAACACTTTTAAAATTAATTTTTATTGATTTTGTGTTTGTGTCTATGCATGCCACAGTGTGCATGTAGAGGCCAGAGGACAATTTCCAGGTGTCAGTCCTCTTCTTGCACTGTGTGGGTCCTGGGGCTCAAACTTGGGTTGTGAGGCTTTGTGGCAAGCACCTTTACCCATTGAACCATCATACTGCCCACCTCCCCCCAAATCACAAACTTTTCATCTTAGCACTTATTACAAGCTGATAGTACTTTATTATTATTATTATTATTATTATTATTATTAATTAGTTCATTGTTTACAGTCTACACCGGACTTGAAGGTCCACATGAAAAAGGAGCCAATCTCACACATAGCCACATCTCAATCACCTGAACTGTGCTCACCACATTACAGGCACACAATTATTCGCTGAATGAATATATGGTATGACACACTGTCTTGTTTCACAATATTAAATTATACTATTACTATTAAGACTTTTGGCTAAATATACACTTTTCATCAGAGAAAGGTTAAAACTTATCAAACCAGAGAAAAGAAGGCTGTGTAGTTCAAATGCTTCACCAAAGAAGAGAAGACAGGTAAATCATGGGAAGAGCAGGAGTAGTCATGTAACCCAAGTTACTCACAGGATCTACAGTTGGAAGATTAGACAGCCTTCTCCTTTTCCTGCTTGGGCCTGGTGTGGGCAAAGAATGGTGCCCATCATCAAAGTCTCCACTGACACTGCTGGAAGGGGAAGTAGCTCTTCTTCTCTTGGAACCCATGGAATCCAACTTCTTCTATAAGAAATAATTAACCATGTTCTTATGTTTAATCTTCAACTCTGTCACCAAACTCTCAGCTGGCCAACTACCACCAGATTTCTGATTCACTTAGGACAGTTTATTCCAGGAGTTTAGCTGTAAATGCTTCCATTAACATAGGTCCTGGACCTCAATGCTTTGGCCTTTCTCTTACCAGAATGCTACATTATCAACTTTGAAAGGACAGACTGAACAAAAGCATACTCATTTGTGTGACAATAATTATAAATGACTCAACCACTTCTTGCCCCAGATTTACCCTGGGATGGAGTTTCCCAATCCCCATGTGTAGTCATTTAACAGGGTGCTGGAGGTACTGATCTCTAAGACCCTGAGGCAGACCAGGGGGACAGAGGCTCCAAAGTCATTACATAGGGTTAACAGCCTCCTCTGCTTTCCTGTATACTTTACAATTATGACCATTACTTAAATGGGGCATAATGCGAAAAAAAATCCCCAAACCACCTAGGAAGCAGCACCTAAGGAATGAATGGTACAAAAAAAGAGGAGCTTTTTAGCATGTAGATGTACCCAAAAATAAAACCCTGAAAATGAATTCTCCCCACTCAAAACTGAATGCGTAACATATACCTCTGTGAAACAGTGTGATTTTGCCATACCTGGGGAGAAACAGCAACCCACGCTTTGAACTCTTCTGTTTAAATCTTCCCTTTCAGTCATGTTATATATTATACCCATGAATTTTGACAACAGCTGTGAGCCTCACTAAGTGATCTGAAGAGAACATCTTAGTAAGTCCTGCTTGGACATGAGAGGCACACAAATATTTCCTCTTGGTTTTAAGCTGATAACAAGAAACATCTTTGCTTGCTTTTGGGTTTTTTTGTTGTGTTGTATGCAGTCCCGGGTACTGAACCTATGGTCTCATACATGATAGGCAAGCACTCTATCACTAAATTATATCTCCAGTCCACAAGAAACTATTCCTTGTATGCTGTGTGTGTGACTTCCAGAGGTTAATAAAAGTTTTTTGAGACAAGGTATCCCTGTAGCCCCAGCTGGCCTGGAGTTCACTGTGTAGACCAGGCTGGCCTCGAAAAACATGCACCTCCACACTCAGCTTTCATCTTATTTCCTGAGAGAGGATTGTTCACTGAACTTGGAGGTTGCCAATCTGGCAAGACTGGCTAGCCAGTGGTTCTCTGAAATTCACCTGCCTCTGTCCCTCCAGAGGGGCTACCTACATATAATACCATACATGGCTTTTATATGGATGCTGGGGATCTGAACTGAGGTCCTCATGCTTACATAGTAAGCATTTTACTCCCTGAGACATTGCTCCAGTCCTCATAAGCTATTCTTAACATAACTTCATAATATAAGAAATCCAACCACTCAATCTATTACAGAGAAAGAATATATACCCAAGGAAATCCTATAATGCTTATGTAATTTAACAACAGTATCAAACAGTGTATTGTGATTTCAAGGGACTTTTTTCTAACACTAAAAGAAACAACAGACCCAGTTTCATTCATTAACATTTCAAGTAATGAAGACATTAGCAGCTGAGTAACCAGGAACAGTAGAGCACCTTTGCCAGACAGTATAGAAAGACCAGTTGGGGCTCTCCAGGAAACAGAAAGCAAGAGCAAAATAAACAAACAAAATATCCTGATAAGCACCTGAGAAACAAGGAGTCTCCTACCTCTTCCTTCGAACTAAAGTCTACACAGTGTTTATCAGAGCACCATCTGTGATTGTGCTCCTTTCTCTGGGTTTTGGTTATCTAGTATAGTAGTCTGAAATTGACTACAACTGGTTAAAAGCTTCCAAAAACTTGGTCCAAGAACATCCAAGGTTTTTGTTTTTGTTGTTGACTTTATGAAAGACTAGTAACTGGCCACAATTCTATGAGCTAAAGAAATTAAGGACTAATTTTTGTAAACAAGCTATGACAAGGACACAGGTGAAACAGATGAACACAGGAGGGACTCAGATGGAAGGGGTAACAAAAACTTAAGAATGGTTGCATGGAAAAGGCAAAGAATGACAGAAACAAGAAAGGGTGAAGATGATCAGTAATTTACCAGCTTTACCAGAGCACAACCAGCGCCTCGAAAAGCCAGTCTCCTCATTATGTCTGAAGGCCAACTGAAGCCTGTGAGAGAAGGCAGGGCTTCAGAAGTGTGTATTCAGTTAGTGCATTCAAACTGAAAGAGAAGAACAAGGCAGAGAAAGGGGAAAGAGAAGTGTCAGAGGAGTACAAGAACAGACGGAAAACATTCAAATAGAACTGCTAAAGAGAGCAGGCATATCGGTTCTTAGGTACACCTGACATTCTTCACTAAAAACCAAATGCTTTTCACATGCTTAAAGAGGGATCTCACTGAGGTTCCCCTTTACTCACATGGAATGACTGTTAATTTCAGGAATGAAGCATGCCTGCCCAACTGGCCCCTAGTCAGTAAGAGCAGAGTTCAATCACAGAGCTGGAATGGAGAGTGAACACGTGTGGCAGGCTCACATGTGACACCAAGTGTTGGCAAGCTGGAACCAAGAATGGCTCACGAGAGCAAAGTCTGCAAAATTCTTCTTCCTCCCCACCTGAGAGTCAAAAAAGACTTTTCTTTCCAAAACTCCTATCTGTACTGGAAAGACATTACATGTAAGTTTAGCAGGGCTTAAAAAAAAGTCTTCAATTACTTTGGTAGTTCAAAATTACTTTTAGAATTCACTGAAAATTAAATTACAAAAATGTGAATTATTGTTATTATGTTGTAGTTTAGATGATATAATAAAAAAATCCTTTAATCATTAATTACACTTCCATAAGATAGGAAAAGATGCAGCTTATGGACAGTTTTCAATTTTTCTTTTCCAATAGATACACTTTGATATGTAATGTGGAGGCCACAGGCTATACACTCAATAGTCAGGAGTCCAGGTCTTCCACGTCTATCTGTTCAATGCTGCTTGAATCACAACTTCTCAGATGTTTCTTCAGCTTTAAAATGAAAACAAGGCCTAGGAATGTTCCTTAGTTGGAATAATGGTTGCCTACATGTATGATGCCCTGGGTTCAATCCCCAGCACCACATAAAACCAGGCATGGTAGTGCACACCTGTAATACCAGCACTGGGGCGGTAGAGGCAAGAGGATCAGAAGTTCAAGGTCATTTTTGCCTATATAGCGCAAGTAAGAGGCAAACTGGAATATGAGACCTTGTCTCTAAGTAAGTAAATAAAGTATACATACATCCTTTTGACAGTGAAGAAACTATATACAGGAAACCACTTTGAAATTTCACAAGTTCAACTCTTAAGGCTAATATGCTCCCTGGGTACAAGAACAGGGTCCTCTTCATTTTTGTAGCCCCATCCTATAGAATAGTGCTGTTACATGTAAAATGTAGTTCATGTTTTTAATAAATATACTCAAAGTGCATGTAAGACCTTTAAAAAAAATTTCTGTGTAGTTTAAAAGTACACCTTTAGTCCCAGAGGCAGGCACTCACTCTGCGAGTTGGAGGCCAGCCTGGTCTACATAGTGAATTCCAGGCCAGCTGTGGCTACAGGAAGACCCAGTCTCAAAACAAAATAAAAAAACAAAAAGGCCTGTAAGCATCTCTTCATTGATTCTTTACTCATAAGCAGGAAACAGATTCTAGGTTTAATTTTAGGTGTTAAGATGGACTTATTTATAGTTACAAGTCCAAGAGACAATGAGTGTTAATTTACAGTGGTCAATGAAGAATACATTAGGGGGCTGCAGAGATAGTTCAGTCAGTAATGGGCCTGCCATGCAGACATGAAGACCTGAGTTCAGATCCCCAGCACTAAAACAAAACACTGAGTACAGGCCTGTAACCCCAGAGGTAGTGGGTAGGGGAGTGGGTGGAGACAGGAGGAGCCAAAAGAAAAGAAAAGGTGAGGACCAGGCTCAGTGAGAGAACTTGTCTAGGCTCAAACAAAAAGGAAGGGTAAAAAGTGACAGAGGAAGACACTGCCATAGACCTCTGTCCTCTACATACACATGCACCCAAATTTTTTTAAAGAATAGTTTTAATCTACAACTGTAAGAATAACTCAGTATAGCTAAATATTTGGCAACTTATGACTTTTAGTATTCTTTGCTTTCAGTAATATTTAGGATTGTAACACATGCTTAAAACAAAAACTGTGGAAAACAGACGACTCAAAGACTGTCCCATCAAAAAAGACAAATGCAAATTATGTTTCTTGTAAGAAAAGCACCCTTATCACTGGCGTGCTATTTGTCTAAACTTCAGTTTTTGTCATGTTTCTTTTTTTTTTTTTTTAATTTTTTTGGGCTTTGTTCTTGAGATGGCTTTCATACATTGCAAGCTGGCCCTGAACTCAGGGATGACCTTGAATTTCTCACTCTACTGCCTCCACATCCCAAAAGCTGTGATTACAGGCACCTACTACCAGGCCCAGTTTTATGCATACTGAGGAATTAAACCCAGCGATTCACACATATACTTCGCAAGCACTCTACCAAAAGTGAGCTACATTCCCAGCCCAACTATCCTTTCTAAAAACACATGCTCTGGGGCTGGAGAGATGGCTCAGTGGTTAAGAACACTGGTTGTTCTTGCAGAAGACTGGGGTTCGAATCCCAGCACCCACATAGCAGCTAACAACTGTCTATAACTCCAGTTCCAGGGGATCAGACAGACTCTTCTGTCCTCCCTGGGCACTGCACAACACGGGTGCACTTATCTACATGCAGGCAATACAAGCATACACATAAAATTAAAATAAAAACAAAACAAAACAAAAAAAACATGCTCTGCAGCATTTTTAACTGAGGCTACCAAGTCAACACGCTGCCTCATGAAGTTTGATAGCTTAGTAGCAGTCTATTATACAGATATATAATTTACTTATCTTGGGGATTTTGGTAAAACACTATTATTTGAGGAATGTTTTACACTCCTAAAGGAAAAGAAAGTTGCCCAGACCCTTCCATTCCAGTACACGCACATTTGTTACTGTTTTAATCTCAAACATTTTTCAAAAGATACTTTTTACCTATCCTCCAGTATGACACATACCTATAATCTCAGCACTCAGGAGGCTGACGCAAGAGATCACAAACTTGAGGCCAAAATGAGACAATGTAGGAAAAAAAGACTTTCCAATCATTCATTTAGGATCTTAACTACTAAAGGAAAGACTGTAATGTTATTTATATTGAGCTCAATGTGCTTGTAAATTATATTTGGGGAAGTATTAATCAAGGGCAAAAAACCACATATAATTAATTGCTTTTATGGTTTTGAGGCAAAGTCTCACTATGTAACCCAAGCTGGCCTCAAACTTGAAATCTTGCCTCAGCCTCCCAAGTGCTGAACAACAGGTACAGGCCACCGAGCATGCCTGGCTCCTACAATCAATTTTGAAAAGTCCGGGTTAAGATATCGTATTCCAACATGCGCTTCTATTAATTATTAAGTTTCTACATTCACTCTACAGTGTACTTGTTTATTTTCCAGGAATTCTCTTACATTTTTGCCCTTCTTTCTTCTCTTTCAATCAAAATTATTGCCTTACAATAACATAACTACACTTCCCTTTCCGAAAGTAAAAACTTTAGAGATGGAAAACATTTTAAATCCAGGAAAAACCAGTTTTTGAAACTCCCGATTCTTCGTGATGCTGCAGATGAGACGCTAAACTACCTAGCTTCTAAATGAATGTAATCCCAGAGATAAAAATACTTGGCTTCGGCACTCACACAGAAAGAGAAGAAAAATCATTAAAAGAGTTTGTGTCGAACCCCCAAGAAAACAAAAAAGGAGGCCCTGAGCTGCGGAGGAAACGAAGGGCTTCCCGACCTGTCACTGCTTCCGCGGGCTGGAGGAAACGTTGACAGCTGGGACGCCGGCCCGCGACGGGCGGGAAAGCCGCCCCAAAGCTTCCGGGCCGCTGCTAGCCTTTGTCCGGCAGGTGCGGTCCGGGAGCTGGGCCCCTCCGACGCCGCCGCCGCGCCCGGCCCCGCCCCGCGCCCGGCCCGACCAGCGCGTCCTCACGGCGGG